AATCTATACATACATAGGTGTGTATTGCATTATGTGGTGATACACAGAAACAGGACATACCATGTTTACTTACAATCTATACATACATAGGTGTGTATTGCATTATGTGGTGATACACAGAAACAGGACATACCATGTTTACTTACAATCTATACATACACAGGTGTGTATTGCATTATGTGGTGATACACAGAAACAGGACATACCATGTTTACTTACAATCTATACATACACAGGTGTGTATTGCATTATGTGGTGATACACAGAAACAGGACATACTATGCTTACTACAATATATACATACATAGGTGTGTATTGTCTTTTGTGGAGTTATGAAGATATAGGGTAATACATCAAGGTTACATGCAAAATTTATAAATCATTGTTATAAACCTTTTTAAATTTTATTCCATCTTTTTTAAATAATACAATTTATGCAACTTTAAAGTTAGGTAAACTGAATTTTTTGCAAGTTGTTGCAACTAACTTTTAAACATCCTAACATTTAACAACGAAACAATCTCACTTTGACAAAAAAAAAATGGAAATTCTTACCTTACTAGCCTTACTGCTTGTCACTGAAACAATTCCACTTCGAGCTGAAAAGTAGTAATTACGTTTCTGTATTAAAAAAAATTCACAGCAAAAATTTTTCAAATCTTAATAATAATAATGTCACGTGATTAATATTTCAAAAACAAAATTAATCTAATACATAAAAAATAATGTTTACAAAATATAATGAAACAATTCATAACTACATATCATTGAAATAGCCTCAATATAAAGTTTTTTTACAAACAACATTCAAGGATTACTAAATCAAAATTCAGGTTCCGATTCGCGTATTGAATTATGGGAAAAAAGGACAAGAAGTATTCTACATAAAGTCTTGATGCAAACAAGATAAAAAACTTACCACTTTTGACAACAAACTCTTTGCCACTTAGAATATGATGAAGCAAGGTCTTCATCTCAAATGGACTCAAATTCAACAAATGTTCAGATGCTTCATCACCTGGAGGAGAAGGATGGATTTAGAAGCTGCAAAATGACCGTTGTTTTAGTAAACGAGAAGGATGGATTTAGAAGCTGCAGTTTAAATGACCGTTGTTTTAATAAAGGAGAACGATGGATTTAGAAGCTGCAGTTTAAATGACCGTTGTTTTAGTAAACGAGAAGGATAGGTTTAGAAGCTACAGTTTAAATGACTGTTGTTTTAATAAACGAGAAGGATAGGTTTAGAAGCTGAAGTTTAAACGACCGTTGTTTTAATAAACGAGAAGGATGGATTTAGAAGCTGCAGTTTAAATGACCGTTGTTTTAATAAACGAGAAGGATGGATTTAGAAGCTGCAGTCTAAATGACCGTTGTTTTAATAAAACATAACAATACAGCAGAATTAAATCTCAAATTAAACTATTACCACAGATCCAGAAATGTGCTTGGAATACTATCAAACTGTGGACACTTCAGATAACAAAGCATTTTTCAATGTTAATCACTTAGCAATAAGCAACTGGGTTCCTAAGCCAAATATTTGCAGTTTTCTTTGTTAATTTTCCTGTTCATTGTTAAGAATGTTAATTCTAATAATTCTGTTAAAGTTTGACGACACTTATCTATATTAATAGTACAGGCCAGAAATATGACTTAACTTCATTATCCTAGGTTAACGTTAATCCTAGATTAACAGTTCCCTACTTCTAATGTTAAGTTCAGACTGATTGAGTAAAATAAAGCCAGAACTAAACAACTGTTACAGGTTTAGAAGAGATAAACAGATATTATAAACCCACCAGAGCATTTCAGGGATCGAGCGAGCTCAGACGCCATTACTTGTATTATAAGTCCGACTCTGAGTCTCAGCATTTCTTGGAAAAGCTGTGGTTCAGTACGAATAAACATGGCTAGGTACACCAACAACTCCTACAAATAAATAAAAAAGTTAAAGAAATTAAAGTTCCTGTGAACATTTTAAATTCACATTTAACATGACAAAAAATTCTTTATGACTAATAGAAGTTTCTCTGTGTGATAAGAGTAACAGTAGCCACTCTAGATAAACCCACTAATAGAAGTTTCTCTGTGTGATAAGAGTAACAGTAGCCACTCTAGATAAACCCACTAATAGAAGTTTCTCTGTGTGATAAGAGTAACAGTAGCCACTCTAGATAAACCCATTAACAGAAGTT